AAGTGACAGAGCAGAAACAGATCTCTTAACCCTTTCAATCCTTATATATATATATATATATATATATATATATATATATATATATATACTCACACACACATGCATGCATGCATACATACACATCAAGAAAATATCTTAATAATACTCCCAGTTATTTCTAACATAATACCGTTGGGATATTTTTTAAGGGTGAGACGTGTTTAAAAAAACATTGGATCTAACAAGTAGCTTGATTGAAAGTCTTATGAACTCCTTAATATATAAAAAATACAAGAAACTAAATTTCTGGCAACAGGCTTTATATACCTGGACTATAACTATATATATAAGGCCTTTAGATATCTATCTCAGGCCAGTCAGGCAGTATATTGCTGTTATAAAGTTTACTTCTAACAATAGCCTGATAAGTCTTGGAAATTTAGTGATGGACCTGTAATAACCTTGTACTTAAAACCAGCAAGAGAGAAAAAAAAAAAACTTAATATACTAAAATGAAATTTAGATAATAAAATGAAAAACTCCAACTCTTTGTCAGGCAACTTAAAAATAAATCTTAACATATAAGACAAAAAGATATTCATTTTTAATATATGAAGTATCATTAATAGAACTTCTAGTGATTTGTCATGAATTTAAAATAACTTTTCATATGAAGCAAATATTATAAATAGTTTATGTTCCTTTAAGTTTTAATTGTCATTAGTTTCTGTTTGTGAGTCACATATTTAACTGCTTACTCTGTTCTAAGCATTTTGCGTAGAACATTAAATATAGAAAAGAAAACTTAAGAATCTTGAAGTCCCAAAAAATAAAAAAAACAAAACTTCAGTGTAGGAGTCACTACCAATTTGGATGTTCTGAATTTCTTTTCCCATCCAGCAAATTTGGAATGTGTGTGTTACATTTAAGAGTTGAGTAATTTTCTCAGTTTTGATTAAATTGTGTCTAATGCTTGCAGATACAGGATATATACAGTTTTCAATTTAGATTAAAAGATGCACAATAATTTTATCCAAAGAACTTGATTCAATGCAGAAAATTTGATCACCAAATCTGTAATATTAATTTGTGAACAGGTCAAAAAAGTCAAAATTCTGTTAATTTTTAATTCAAGTATTATTGTAAATGAAAATCTTAGCTTTTTGAATTTATCTCTTAATAAATAAAAAAATTAAAAAAATCATTCCTAGTTGCTTAAGTTCCATTAAATTGTATTTGTAATAAGCAGTATGATTTTCACAAGCAACTGCAGAATGAAAATTTGGAACCAAGAAATCGATTCCTATCTGGCAAATTTCCACCATGTAGAGAATGGATACATTCATACTTAATATGAGTTATTTTTTTTTTTTTTGCTATATTTTTTTTCATAGAAAAATAAAAGCAGCTAAAGTAGACTGATGAAATTTGAAGAGTAGGAAATATACAAAAAACATTAACTAAATACATATGTGCATAATAAACTGTTGAATGTTGAATAGTATGATTAACCATTAAAGGAAAAATTTCATGAAACCCTAATAAATCACATTACCTAAAAAAGCGTTAAAATAAGTCACTAGAATCAGCTAAACATTTTTTCTTGAATATGTTTTTACTGAGAATATCAGAATTTTAATGTTATTTTCAATTTCTATTGAATCAAAAAATAAAATGAAACAAATCACAAATATATTTAATATTTCCCTAAAAAGAAAAGTAAACATATCAATATTTTTCAGTAAAACTGACAAAATATTTTGTCATAAAATAGCCCTGCGCAAGGGAAGTAATTTAGAGTAACAGGTTGAATTTCACTATTTCTTTGTTGATTGATTTTTGCACTTCAGTCATCAAAAAATATTTAAAAAGGAAAAAAAAAAATACTGCCCTACATTATTTATGCAAAGAACAGGCATGAAAATGACTCAATTCACTTGTTTGCTCAAATATAATCTATATATAGATATATAATAAATCCTTCATATCCAACATTTATAAAAGAAAAATTTAAAAGACAATACCAAAATTAAATTGGGTTAGTAATTATCAAAATACAAAAAATTTAAAAATACAAAATCAGTTAATTATCAGTATTGAAAACAAAACGATCTTTTTTCTTTTTGTTTTTTTTAAACATTTGTAATTATTGTAATTAATGTTATTTTTGTTAATTTCGAATTTTTACTGCATTCAATCTTGGTGCTATTTTATTTCCAAAGAAATTTGTTCTAGTTTTAACTGCAATGATTTTTTTCTACAACACACATGCAAACTGCATGTTTTTAGATAAGTAGACACTACAAAGCATATAAAAAGGACTTGTTTCATTGATATTATAATTTAAGCAATGCTAATTGTCTAGAAGCAGTTCCATCCCTTTAGCATTGAAGTAAACCTATTAACACCAAGAGAAAAGGTGTGAAGTTGAAATTAATATTAACAAAATTATAAGTTCAAATAAAAATACACACTTTTGTATAAATGCTTCTAGACTCTGGTATGGAACTTCTGTGCCCAAATTAGTGAACTTTATGATTCTGTAAAACAAGAAAGAAGAAAAATAATTTGGTGGATTGTCACTGAATGAGCGAAAGGTTAAAAGGCGAAAAGCAAGGCAACAAAATGTTTTGTTTTTTTTTTTTAAAGATATTGAGTGAGTAGTTTATAATATTAAACTACAACTAGAAAATCCTTTTTGTTTAAAATCTTTGAAATTCTCCTTTCTCTGTGACATGAGATAATGGAGCCAAACCAGCACAGTTACTGAATAATGATCAGAACTTTAAGGTTTACTATGCTTATAAAATCGTATGTTGGTTAAGATTAGAACATTGACAGGTTCCAAGGTTCAGCTCAATTCACAAAGCTCATCAGCTAGAATTACTAACATTACCAACAGGCAAAGCTTTAATATTTTATTAATTGGCATATTATGAAAATGACATTATTGGTCATAGTTTTTCGTAACTTTTCTGTTTCTTGATAATGCTGTACACTATCATGATTATCCTGAATAATTTTGCTGCACTGATTTGCCATCTTTTGTCATGAATCCACCAAAAGGACAATGATTGAAGCTGGAAATTCACTTATTTTTTTTATTTTATTTTTTTAAAGACTGGAACTCTGAAAAGTGGTAAAAATTTTTAGTAACAATAATCCTTTACAAAAAAAAAAAAAAAAAAAAACACTGGTTGGAACAAAGAGCTCAAATGTCACATTTTCTAAGTCAATAACTACTAAGTGTTGTGAGTAGTTTAATCCTTGTTCTACAAGGACAAAAGCCTCCTCGTACACATTTATAAGCATCATCCATATACTATTTGTAAAAACTATTAAAAAATTCACTAAAATTGAAATCAGTCAATTTACACAATCTTTTTCTTAAAAAAAAATAAAAAAAAAGGTAAGTACAATAAGGCCTGTTGTAATAAGTTGAATATTAAACTTTCTAGGGATTATACATTGTCAAATAGAAATACCCTGAGTAAAAAAAAAAAAATTGCTCAAGACCCATTTAAGCTGATTTAGCATTTAATTTTATTTAAAATCAAGATGATCTGTAAAAAGATCCTACTCACTCTAATACCTCTTTATGCCTTGAATATTTAATATAGATTTGTTTAAAATAAATGCACTTAAAATTGAGCTACTGACATTAGGAAAAGGAACAAGCTCATTGGGCCTCAAGAGATACATTCATCTTCCTACTGCTATTATTATTTAAAAGAGAAGCAGTTATATCTCATTTTGAAACATTTCAACTGTCAGATATAGAGCACACTTGTGGGAACAGAAATTATTGTACCTATTTATCTAATACTTAGGTAAACTGTTTAAGCAGTGAGGCCTCGTGTGTGGGTGGGTGTGGGGGTTTAACTGGAATGCAGAAAAAAAATATTTTTAGCCTAACCCATTTCTCAAAAATCAGAATATTGATTTTGGGAAGTAATTTGGGCTGGAAACTTTTCATCACTACAAATACACTCAAACCACACAATTAACTTACAATACGTCTAAGTACTTACATAATGTACATATCCTTACATTTGGAAGAGGGAAATTAAATATACACCTTTAATTTTTGTTTTCTATGTGATGAAGACATATGTTTTCATCTGAAAAGTAAATAGAAAATACAGTGAAATATTCTAATGTTTTATGCATATCTGTTACAACATGTGAGTAACAAGAATCAAATAACATTTTCATACTTACAATCATAAATCATGAGATCCTTTATAGGGAAGAGTGGTTGCTATCCTGAAGGCGAGCATTTGCCTAGGCAAATTCATGCCACTGAGATGAATGCCAAAAGCAAGAAAAAAGAAAAAAAAGGAGAAAGAAAAAAAAAGGAGAAAAAAAAAAAAAAAAAAAAAAAAAAATGGAGAAAAATGGCAGAGCAAATAACATTTAAATAAATAGAGGAGAAAAGAATAACAAATGAGGATCAAGTTCTTTTCTATTCACTTCAATCTTATATAATAAAATGTGTGTGAAAGAAAAGTGTCAACACAAAACAGTCTTTGAGATAAATAGTTTGAAAAAGGATGCAGCAATAATTAATAGCAGGGAATTTTTCAGAGGGGAAAAATATTTTTTTTTTTTTTTTTTTAAATTCTAATTTTCTGAAAGGATTGTTTTTTTTTTTCGTTTTTTTCTTAGCAGTAAAACCATAGACTGGAATTCTTTTAATTTTTTTGAGGATTAAAATCATTCTTTAACATTCAAGGAAAATGTTTGTAGGATGAAGGAGTAAATTTTTTTTCTAATTTTTTTTCTTGAATTTTTAAATTTTATCATTTTTTTTTTGTTTTTACATTTGTTTACTGTATAATTTATCTTTGCTCATAATTTTCTTTTTTTTTTTGCATCACTCAGAATTTTCTCCATAGTATAATAATTGATAATTTGAATAGATTTTAGTTTTAAATTTAATTGGAATTTTTATTTTTTTTTTTTTTTATAGAATAATATTAATATTGATCATATTTAATTTTTTTTCTTTTCTTCTCAATTTACTTATATTCTGTGCTCTTGGGGTGATGTGCATTTCTCCAACTGCTATCCAGCCTTCCAATTGGATCAACAGCCAAAGTCTCTACTTGAGGAGCATTACATTCACATGACTGGGCCCTGAAGCAATGCGGTCTCACAACATTTTTCACATAGACATGACGAAGATTCTGAGACTGAATTTGCCCACCATTTTGCCTGATTGGGGGTAGAAGGCGAGGTGCGGGCTTCGATTTGATCAACAGTGAAGACGAAGGGCTCATATTTGAGCACATGTTGTTGTTGTTGTTATTATTGTTGTTGTTGTTATTTCCATTATGGCTGCTGCTGCTGCTGTTGTTGTTATTGTTGTTGTTTCCACCAGCACTGCCCATATGACGGTGATGGTGGTGGTGGTGGTGGTGATGGTGGTGGTGGTCACGGTTCAGGAACTGCGGCGGCGATGACGAAGAAGGTGACAGCTCAGACAGCTCCTGTGAGGAGGAGGAGTTGGTCTGCGTCATCCCCGGTTGGTGGGGGCTGTTCAGACGTGACCCGTGGTTTCGCAAGGTAGCACTTGACCGGCCTGAAGACGGGGATGAAGAGTGCCATGCCTCACTGAGTTCCACTTCATCTGAGCGGCTCTTCTGCATGTGGCTGCGTCGTGAATGGCGACCACCCCCACCAGCCGATCCCGGTGCATTTTTTGGTGGCACTGGGACCACATGGAACACATTCTCTTTGGATTTCATATTGAGGTTTTCTTCAAGCTTCTGCTGGATTTTTGCCTTGTGCAGCTCTGTAGAGAGATGGCCAATGTAGTCAGCCTTGTAGTCCAGATCAGCACGAAGGCTATTTAATTCCTTCTCTTTAGAGGCCAGCTCCTGATTATGTTTGATTGCTTGATACTTGAGCTGAATCTCCAATTCTTTGATTTTGTTCCGTTCTTTGGTAAGCACTTCCAAAAGATGAGTTTCATTTGACTTGGCTGCTTCCAATTCAGTCTCCAATTTTTTTACTTTTGCTTCGAGTTCTGAAAAAAAAAAAAAAATATAATACCAAATAGTTACTTATATGCAATATGCAAAGTAGGTTAGTAAGTGCATGGTTCCTAAAATTTTTTTCACCTGTCAATCCCTTCATGGAATCATTGAATCTATACTAAACTGTAAACATTAAAGAAAAGCACAAGAATCTTTGTTGACCTTAAGGCAGATACATCCTTTCTAACTAAAAACAAACACACTTGCACAATACATACAATCTTGTGCACCTCTAAGATTCAATAATACTAAGTATAATAATTTAATATGTGTGATAACGAAAATTTACTAAAAAGATGGATCAATAAATCTGTAACCTGGAATGTAGTTATAAATTGAATTTATTGTTCTTTTGTCATGTGTCAATCTATTCTTAATGAAGATGTAAGAATTGAAACAAACATCTTCCACTGATAAAGCTGAATGTTTCGCACATAAATTCTCCTTTAACTCTACTCATGACTCATCTGGAGTATCCCTGCCTAACTTTCAACTTAGAACCAAGAGTCTGTTGAGTGATATGCATATAACCCTTTCCATGGTTTCTGCTAGCATCTCTTATCTGGATCCCCCACAAAGCATATGGACCTGATAGTATCCCTGTAATAGTCTTTAAGAAATATACTCTTGAACTGGCTTCCATTCTCTGTAAACTGTATAATAAATGTCTTGCTGCCTCTTGCTTTCCTGCATGTTGGAAATCCTCATCTGTTGTTCCAGTTTTTAAAACTCAGGTAAACCATTCAACCCTTCTAACCATCGGCCTATTAGCCTTCTACCTCTTTTGGGGCCCTAATCAATGCTGAATTGGTTAAACAGCTCACATCACAGGGCCTTCTTTCAGGCAAGCAATATGGCTTTCATTTCCCAACTGATTTACTGATGATAATTGTGGAAAGAGTCTACGAAGCTCTAGATAAGAATGGTGAAGCTCAGGCTGTACCTTTGGACATCTCAAAAGCTTTCGACAGTGTTTGGCATACCAGACTTCTTCACTAGTTGAAAAGTTACGGTGTCTCCAGCCAAAATTTTTGCACTGATCCAGTCTTTCTTATCAAATTATGAAATGAAAGCTATCCTGAATGGCCACTCTTCTAGATCCTTTTGCACTAAATGCAGGTGTCCCCCCTCACTAGGGCTCTATATTTAGTCCTGCTTTATTTTTAATTTTTATCAATGACCTTCACAATGACATCAGCTCTCAACTCAAGGTATCTATGCTGACACAACCATTTACTCTGGTTTTGATAGTATGTCTGATAAGGTCAAATTGGCGGCTGATGTTGAAAATGTCCTTTAATCTGTTGTTGACTGAGGAAAAGGATGGCTTGTTAACTTTAGCGCCTCCAAAACTAAACTGTTCTCTATTAATCATCTGAGAGACCCCTTGCTAACGTTCTCAGCTGACATGAAGTAGAAAAACTATATTGAATCCATTGCTAGGTTACCTGCTAAGAAAGTTGGTTCACTGTGTTGTGCCAGACAATGTTTCTCTCCAGAATCTATCTTATTCTTACATATCTATAAGTCTACCATTCATCCATGCTTAGAATATTGCTGCCACATATGGTCTGGTGCTGCCACTATATTTAGAGATCCTTGATAAAATCCAAAGAAGAATCAGCAATATTATTAGTCCTGATCTGGTGGCTTGGCTTCAGTAACTTTCCAACCACCATAAAATTGCTTCCCTCTGCTATGGTACCTAGACATAAATTTAAGTGTAGTACTAGACTGGCAATGAAGTCTCACCAATTTACAGTTGAGTTGGCTAGATGTAACTCTAAGTTCTATTCTAATAGTTTCTTTTCTTGCAATTCTCACTTGTGGAACTCTCTTCCAGCTCCATGCTTTCCAGTCAACTTTAATAGTCAAAAATTTAAATGCAAAATCAATCGCTTTCTACTGTCCTCCTGATTACTCTTTTGTTCTCACTCCTTAGTAATGTTTATGTTTTATAATTCTTCCACACCCAGACCCCCCCCACACACACACACACACACACTTTGTACTTTAGTGGCTTTACTGTCTTGCTTGGAGTGAACTTGATAAAATACAAAAAAAAAAAAAAAAAAAAAATATGCAAAGAGCAATTGGGAAGTTCAAATAAAAAAAAAAAAAATTCAAGTTCAAGGTTTTAATTTGAAAGATCATAAATCATTCTCCAAAGTTCAATGTCAGAAGATACCAAGGGTATAAATGAAAAGGGTAAAAAAAAAAAAAAAAAAATCCACATCACAACTCAAAACACAAAACTACCTTCTTCACCCACAAAGAACCAAGCAATCTACCTGTAGTCCAAATAGCATTCTTTTATTGGGGTAAGAAAGGTTGTGATTGGTCAAGACTGATAGGAAAGTGCAATTACCATATTTCAAGGTCTACTAAAGTCGACCTGATCTTGATTCTGATTTCTTTTGTTTTGACAGGTCACTGGCCCTGTTTAAACATTTAATTGCAGGATGTTGATTTGGAGGGACTACTAATAATTATTCAAATTCTCAGGGGAGTAGGTTGAATAGTTGAGAAAAAAAAGAAATGAAAAAACAGGTTAAAAATTGTTGTAAAATAAAATAAGTTTAAGAAATTCTAAGGAAAATTAAAGCCAGAATTAACTAGTCATAATTCAATAGAAATGAGCAAAACCAAAGTTTCTCACCCTATCCACTTCCTGCTGATAAGACATGATTAATGTGTTGTCTGAATTTCTTTGGTCCCGAGAAATTAAATTTGGAGGTTTGTTTACATTATACTATCTCTCTAAAGTGTGTGTTCTAACAGAAGGGATGGATACAAATTATTCTAGACAAAGAAAAGGGCATCTGTTTATGTTGAGGCTGTCTGCCAAAGAACATCATTATCTTTAGAGAAAAAGAGAATAGAATTCTAAATAACAAGGGTATGCCATGTGATTATTAACAGACCTAAGATCAAGATGGTTGGGGTGGAGAAATTAGATATATCAATGTCCACTTTCCAGTTGTGCAATCTATATCAACATGTGCTCAACAGGCCTAAAGACATACACACAGAGATGAGCCTAGGAGCAAATGAGCTCAGAATTGAACTGTAAGACAGTCATCACTAAAGAACACATCAATAATTCCTGCAGCCGGAGCAAAAACACAGAAATGGACATGACAGAAGAATTGAGTGAGAGCTGCTGGCTATTACTTTGGTGTTTGCAACTAGATTTCTCAAATCACAATCCAGCAGTTGATAATTTGATTTTGCAGTAGATAATAGAGACATTTTACTCAACCAGTTTTTCGTTATATTCAATAAACCTGTTGTTAAAGTTATCAACAGTGTTGTGCATTTCATTGAAGGAAGTTCTTATTCCAGCCCGATTCTGACATTGCCCTTGGATGCAAAGACGAAAGTTACCTTGAATTGAGAATTATTCATTCTTAACAGTACACAATGTACACAAACAGGTCTACACTAGAGCTCACTGTCAATCCAGATATCATAAGATTTTGGAAAACCTGAATCAACCCGATTGAGACAACATACAAGCCTCAACTGAGGAGGGAAAAAGAAAGCCACATGACCCATAAGGTCAACATTACTCAACAAAGTTAGCAGAGCTACCAACTGAGAGGAAGACGACATGTGACAGAGACTGGTGAGAAACTCTAAGAAAGGAGTGTGGGTTACACAGATCTGGACCACAGACTTCACTGGTGCTTCTGTGTCAACAGAAGAAAAAACTTGTCTCATGAAATATAGTGTCTTTCTTACTCCAGGGTGCCCAGTGTGTTGATGGATATCTGTTAAGTTAGTCAACCAGTGCTTGACTCTTCTGTGGCAAATATTTTTAAATATTTTTTAAAAACAACAATAATAAAAAACATCTTCTCATACATTTGATGAGAATTTTATACTTTTATTATTTTATTATTTGGCTTCTAAAGTAATAATAATGTGGTACATTTGATGACGAACCATTTACTCTGGCATCCAGTATAAAATATATATGTTTGTATGTCTCTAAGTATGTACCTCTGATGATCACTCCTTGTTGTGGTGGAGGGGTTTGTGTGGTCCATTGACTGAGAGCAATGCTGTTGGTAGTTCTAAACTCCTAGTAAGACCACCCTTGGTAGCAAAGTCAAAGATGAGCACCCAGACTAAGCACAACCAACCCCAAAAGATCAATGGAACATGCAGATGACTATTACAACAAATCTCAATGGTTGAACTAGCAGATGAAGAGGCTATGTGTTATGGTGAAACACATCTATTCTATAGTTAATAGACTCTCCCACCTAATATAAGTAGGAGTAATAATAGAAACGACGGTCAGTCGATGTCAGACAACAGTTAGTCGAATACGAAAGTATCAGTGACCACAACAAGATTACTCTGCGTAATACCTATTATATCAAGTTCCTAACGTTTTGTATGTCGAACCTATTTTAGGACCAATTTAGTACAAATACAAGCCTCCACTGCAAAATCACTCCACAACACTATGCATGATGGACATGCTACAGAAGGTGCCACTCAAAACTATAACAGTCAGCAGCAGTCCACTGCAGTTTTATAACTGGATTCGTTATGTCTCATTGCCTATGTACTGCAGAGGAGGGTCATTAAATCAAGTGTGTGGGTCACTTCCTGGCAAGCTAAGGTCCACCTTAAACAAATTCACGTCATCAGTACTTTCTTCTAATCTGATTTTCTTTCACCTCTAGCCAATTCTTGCAAAGTCAAACAGTGATAGGGAATGGTTGACCGGATCAAGTTTTTATGAAACTAGAAGCTTCTAGTTCAGAAGCTGCACGTTGGCGACAAATTTAGTCATCAAAGCCATCATCATAAAGGAAACAATCAGCAAAGAAGAAATTAAATTCTTGGATAAAAGATAAAGCCAATGACGAAGTACAGGGCTACATTTATAAAACACAAGTTAAATACACTATTATTCGAACTGATTAATCAACACACTAACCACATCACTACAATAGGTGTCTCTCCTCAACTGAAAATACTGAGTTTCATGATTAAAAAATCAGAATAAATTGGAATATAAAAGTCTGGTTGGGATATATCAAGAGGAAAATTTGTTTTTATTTTTTTAATCATCATATTAACATGAAGTAAAGCGACATATGAGGCTGTCATGTATATCTAGTCACAATACATAATAAAGAGTAAGTACTATTTTAACAAGGTCATATGGTTATGTCCTTATAATGGGAAAAATGTTAAAAAAAAGAATCATTCCCAAGTAATAATAAAAATAATTTGACAAATATATGCACACATAAATATATGATCTAATTGCTTCTACAGTAGATGGAGTCTCAACTCACCAGTTGTATCTTCAGTATGCAGGCCTTGCATTGTGAGTTTAAAAGTCAGATCTGAAAGAAAGAAGCAGAAAATGATAAACAACTGATCATGCAGTGTAGAAAGAAGACAAATAAAAAATGAAGAGAGAGAAGCTTGGTCTATGAGGAGAAAGATTAAGACATACAAAGAGGAAAGAGAGAGAGGGAAATACATGAAAGTTAATTTTGGGCAAATGATCAAAATTCTCCAAATGACCAGCAATAAAAATCTGATTTAAACTTGGAATAACATCAATTTTTTTTTTTAAGATCCCACTCATTTAAGCAAACATTACTTTTATAATTATTTTACTACATTGTAATATTGCTGTGGACAACATATTTATAAAATCCGTGATTGCCCAAAGAGAGTGACATTCTAAAAAAGATTTCTTACGTCATCTCTAAGGTCAACAGCCTACACATGTATGTAAGCACTTTAACATACAGAATATATATTATAATACAGACTGGCACATAACTGCTTGCATAAAGAAGACATATCAATAAGCATCATTCTTCTGGCATTGAGACAACCATAAAAATACAAAGGCAACTCTATAGGTCTTTGATATAAAAAATGAAATGCTTCCTCTGACATGTCTGCAATTGATGACACCAGCAAAATTTTAAATAAGATAATTATTCTATGAGAGAGCAGCATACTAACAAAGTGATACTGGTTACAAATAGATGAAGCCCAATATATCAATCATGATACCCAGTCCAATAAGGGAATACCAGACACATCATATTATTAGTATTGACTTTTAGCCTAGCTTATTAGATATTATTAATTGGTTTTGCACTTATTGGATATCAAACTACATTCCACAGCCAGAAGTATCCAATATCTTTCTGATTGTTCATGATGTGTCCAACAAACAAGACTTTTGCAATACATAAAAAAACCACTGGCAAGTCTAATCCTTTCAACCAGTAGTTGTTAATTTATTATTAATAATAACCTCAAAATGCTGTATTCCATAAAGAATCATTCTGTCCACATCAGTCGGTTAAGTGCAATACATGATACACACTTGAGTGAGCAGGTATCTTTCAATTCATAACTGATTAGACAGAAGATTTTCCCACAGTAGGTTACCGTTTCTTTCTGCAGTACACTGGTTGCCAACCAAGGCTATAGGACCCAGTCTGTCCTGCTATTCAAACCATAGCTGGGGAAGAAGAGACTCCTGGCTGGTTTGAATTCAGAGTTTTCCTTCTCCTAGACAGATTTCCAGCCAAGGCTAAGGAGGAAGGGGAGATGGATTCATACCTTTCCCAAGTGTATTAGCATGTTACACACCATAAAACACTCATTGTTTAATAATTACTAATTAATGCAACTGTTTGTCATACCTTCTAGACAGATTTCAATTTTAAGTCAAAATAATATAGATTGAACAAAAAGTTGTTTAGACAGAAACAAATCAGAAAGTAAAAAAAAAAACAAACTATTGATTCCAATAATGACAGTGCTGAAGTCCATAAAAAGTATGTTCTACCTCTCTTTACAAAATATTTAACAACAACAACAGTATTATTCATTTTTAAAGAATTCAAATTAAATTTACATAAAAAAAAAATTAAAAAAAAAAAAATTTCAAACTAATCTCTCTCAAAATACTTTATACTTGAATTTGTTTTTTTTGTGAACTTACCTGTGCATCTCTTTTGCAAGACTTTGATCTCTTCATGCAGACCCTTGAGAGTTTTGGCATGCTCTTGTCGAAGGAAAAGCATTTCGCTCTCCAAGTTTCTGCGTTGGATCACTGCTTCTGTAGTCATTATGATGGTTAAGTGTGATGATCAAATTTCAAATCTAAAAAATAAATAAAATTAAAAAGAAACTAAGGATTTGAAAACTTAAAGCTCTCAAGAATATCAATATAGTAAAACACTAAATTTTTTCTAGAAATAAATATGCACACAAAAGTAACATCTACAAATGCCATTTGCCCAAAGTGGCATGAAACAAATTATCAATTTCAATTTGGGTTGTCATTTGCTATTTGTATATTTTAAAAATTGGTATCACCCCATGCAAGGCAGTAAAGCCACTAAAACAAGGAGTTAAAGGGTGTGGAAGAATTAGGAACAGAAACATTAATAATGAGCTGAAAGAGAAAAGAGTAATCAGGACAGTAGACAGCAATCAACATTGCATTTAAAATTTTGCAGATTAATGATGGCTGAAAAGCATGGAGCTGGAAGGGAGTTCCACAAGCAAGAAATGTGAGAAAAGAAACTGTTAGCATAGAATTCATGGCTACATCTAGCCATTTCAAGTGTAATTTGATGAGATCTCAATGCCAGTCTAGTACTATACATAAATTCAAAAAGTCTAGGTACCATAGCAAAGAACTCATCCAAACAATTACCATGAAAGAATTTATAGAAAAGATATAGAGAGGCAACCTTACAGCAGTGGGTAAGTGACTGAAGCTGCCACATCAGGACCAATAATATTGCGGATTCTTTTTTGAATTTTATCAAGGAGCTCAAGGTAAATAGCAGGGGCACCAATATTCTAAGCAGGGATGAATTGTAGACTTACAGATATGTAAGATAGATTCTGGAGAGAAAAATTGTATATATATTACACACAGGGTGAGATGAATAAATTATCACCATTTCATACTTTTAATTTTTTACACATGTGTTTGTTTTTGTCAACTGCACAGTATAATAGGGTCAGTTGGGCACTATCTGTGAGAAAAAGAGCACCATGACACAATTCACTCTGCCAGAAATTTAGAAATGGAATGCTGTACTGCTTGGCATTTGGGCCAGAAGCTCCAATACAAACATCTCAGAGTGTTTGTGTGTCAATCTAAAGACAGTGGAGAGGATTTGGAAAGAGTTGGTTGAATAATGGAGATTATGAAGATGTTTAGAGAGATCACAAGATTATGCCTCCATTCATCTTCCCACAGGGCTTCAGACTCAACATTGAGGCCTACATCAAGTGCCTTGAGGAGGTAGTGCTGCCCTGAGTCGAGAGGGTGGCTGCTGAAAGACCCTATGTCTGGCAACAGGAAACTGCACCATGCCACACAAGGAGGAGAACCCAGTCATTTCTGTGACTACATCACACCTTATATCCGGCTACCTAACTTCCCAAACTGCAACCCCCTTGATTATCATATGTGGGGCGCAGTTGAGTGAGAGACCAACAAAACTCCTTGTAACACCAAAAATGAAGTGAAGACAATATTATGTCAGCATTCACCAACTTAAACAAGGAGACAATTCAGAAGAGTTACAGGAGATTCAGAAGTCATCTGGAGACTGTGGTTGATGCTGATGGTGTTTTTATTGAATAAATTTACTTTCGTATTTCAAGATATTTTTGTACATTTACCAATATAAATGAGATGTCAGTGTTATTTTCATTTTTGTGTAATTTAGGCGACAATTTATCCATCGCACCCTGTGTGCATGTGCGTATATATATATATATATATATATATATATATATACGGTACTTATTAGAAAGTGCTCAATATGAGAGATAGAGCTAACATATTTGGTTGGATTGATGTGATTTTGTGACCCTGAGTTTCACGCTTTTGTGATCGTCAGCTGACGATTGCAAATATGTATAAAAACTTTGACCAAAAGACAGATTTTTGTGTTCGTATATCAAAGTAAATGTATTTATTTAACAAAAAATGTTATTCAGCTTTATTTCCTGACAGGATGAATTTATTGATCATATTTGATAATGGATTTATGTAATTTTCAAACATTGCACACCATCTAATGATATCCTTTAAGATCTATTTTTCACAATCCTGAGTCATGTAACCAATTATGGGCCACACATGCACTGCAGCAGTGCTATGTTTTGGACAAGATAGCCTGTCAGTGTCCAACTATCTACTTTATAGAAAAGTAAAGATATTTAGAGAAACTCAACTTAGACTAAAAAATAATTACTTTTAATAATATATAGGTAACAATAACTATGGATATGTGTTTGTATACAGTCTTTTTCTTCTTCCAAACATTTTCTAAACATGATGTTAGCAGGAATTAAACCTAAATTAGTAACTTGAGTGATTTGCCAAGAAAAATAATTGATAAAATATATCCGAGCTTTGTTTTTTTATGATCGAGTTATTAAAAATAGTTTAGGTTTTCTTACATATTCAGATTTTATTTGATACATTTTTAAGTGTAGAAAAACAAAATCAAATTCATTATGCCTGTCTAGATGCCATTGAGAATTTATTCTATAATTAGATTAAGTGTCATCTTTCTACTTGTAGCTGCTTTGAATTAATATTTGCATATATCATAACAATAGTAAAATAACTTTAATCTATTCTAATATTTGAAGCTTCTCTATAGATTTGTGTGAATAACCATGCTACAATCATGCACAAATAATTTGGTATCGGGACTTCATTTTTGGCATTAAAATTCACAAGATAATCATGTTGTAGCAATTTAAGAGTAACCTTGGACTCAAGGTCACCAGAGATCAAAGCATACAATTTCAAGGTCACCCTTGGATCAAAGCTTACAGCATACTATTTTTAGCCACAAGGACAGAGATATTAAGTTTGTTATTAAATAAAAAGGTTTTTTTTTTAACCTTACAAATGGTAATGTACATAATGTCAAATATGACATCCAAGGTCACCAGAGATAGAATTAGTGGCTTTCACATTCTTGGAGGTAAATCGGTATGTAGTGGTAACCTGGGCAGAAAGAATGATAGGATAGATGATGCTGACTTCCAAAGTCATTGAAAATCACTAAAGGACAATTTGGGATTAGCTTCTTTTTTTCAGAATTTAAAGGGCTAAAGAAAAAAACTTTTTTTTGTAAATCATTGTGCAATCGTGAAAAATATTTTTATTAAAAATTCTAAAATTTTCAGGATTAAACTTCATTTTTCCAAGTGTTTTAAATATAAAAGAAGGCCCCAAACTGCAGAAACTATTAGTGGCTCTGTGTGTAAAGCATTTTTGATCCAAAGAATGATGTGATCCAAGAAAAATTCAAATCTGTTACAAAAGATTCCTGGGTAAACTCAACAAGTGACAGTTCCAGACACTTCTGTAGATTTTCAGAATGCATTTTAGTTCCTCATCTCTCTTCAGATACCTACAGTTCCTCTTCACAGGCTCCAACTAAAAGATGGGATGCACATTATGCTTTTTAGAAATCTTGACTCGCCAAAGTTGTGCAAGGGAACTTACCTGTCAAACAGCTTCTCCCACGTGTCATCAAGTCAACTATCCTAACTGGGGTAGACAAAAAAGAGGATTTTTTTCATTTGCAGTATCCCAATAATTCCAACAGATTTGCCTTTTGAATTCAAGCAACCTCAATTCCCAGTGAGACTCAGCTTTGACATGACCATCAACAAGGCACAAGGACAATCTCTTAAGATTGCTAGAGCCAACCTGTGCTTTTCCCATGGTCAATTCTATGTTGATTGTAGTAGGGTATGATCCCTAAACCACTTTTCTTTTTTTTTCTTTTTTTTTTTTAATACTGGCACCAAATAAGAGAAACTCTAATGTTGTGTATTCAGAAGTCCTGTCAAATTAAGGGACAATATCATTTGGTTTGTTTTAAGCATCAAAATATTTTGTTGGTAACAAATACTTTTTTTATGTACACATCATGTAAGATTTTCTTTGTTTTCTGTAAGAAGAAATAGTATTAAAGAACATATTTTTCAATGGGTAATGCTAAGTATCTCTGCTAGTAACTTCATCCAGTGTTTGGTGCATTTTATATGGTGGTGGTGGTGGAGGGATTTGAGGTAAGCAGTTTTATGGCATACTTTTGAAAACCATACAGCCAACTCATTTCATTAACTATCAGCTAGTATGCTTATTTAATATTTCATTTAATTATGAATTTGGAAAAAATAATTTTATTAGTCAAAGCCTACATATGGTTTCAGTGTTATTCATAAAAATTATAAATATTTCTGATTTAAAAAAAAGCAACTGAAATTTTTCAAGGTTAACAATATCAGATATGAACTAAAATTTCAATGATTGCAATATAAACATTGTATAAGATACAAGAACAGTAGACTTTGCTGACAGTAGCACTTAGTTGAAGAGTAAATATCAACTGTAAAAGTAAACCAACTTTTTACTAGTAAGGAGTTTATAGTAAAACTCACCCAAATCCAAGTGAACCCCAGGTACAAAATGAGTCACAGTTCCAGCATTAAGATAATAATAGTATGCTGTCCCTATCATTTGGAACGTAAGCCAGGAAGTGAAGTAACATGTGTGAGTAAATAGCCACTGCTAATTAAAATGACTGTTTTAAGTACAGCAAATTGTACATGCCTCACTGCTTTTAACATTAACAATTAGTGAAAAACAAAACGGAAAAAGTCATGAGTCAATTTGTTAGCTATGTGATAAAAGTTAAAGATTATATGCCTAAAAATCTATGAAAAAAATATGGATGGGAAGGAATAAAAATTTTTTTAACAAGGTACATACAAATTTTAAATGTGATAAAGGGTGTTCTAATAACTTGGACCAATTTTAAATGTGAATTAAGTTTAATCATCTAATGACTTTTTTCTTTTTCTTTCCGATTTGGCAGATATTTGGGCAATATTATTTTTCACACATAACTTCCATGACAAATAACATGATCCAATAGAGAAATAAATAAATTTTCACCAATAACACTGATTTATTTACTACTGACTTTGATCCGTCTTAATGAAACACCCTTTATAAGCATAGATAGAACTTTACAAGAGATTAAATGCATAAGAATTTAAGTGTATTGAATAGTTTTAAAATGATATTCAAGAAGGTTAGGATATGTGATGGGAGGATGATTTGTAACTGCAGTATGTGAAGAAAAGTTAAAAAATTTCTGAATGTCTATAAAAATAAAAAATTAAGAAAAAAAATGAAATGACAAACAATAAATAGAATAAGTGAAGAAATGGACACAATTTTGGATATATGATAATCGAATAAAAGAAATGGCTGAAAACAAAAGTAGATGAAAGAGAATAGTTCAGATGATCATTTGAATACTATTTATAAAATTATTGTATTTAAATATATCAGAGTAAAAAGAGAAATCCTTGAATGAATATAGAAGTGTACCATTCAAAGAGGATCAAGCTTGTTTAAAATGAGCAGCAAAAATGTATTTAACAATTATAGTACATATGGAGCAAATCAGGGAAAGATTCATTCATTTTTTATGGCTTATCAACCTTTTGCAGGTTATTTAAAGTAAGAAAATATTTTTAGATTCTAAGAATTCTAATAATTATTTAGTGATACAAGTCCTACTAATTAACCCATATCTGGGGGAAGAAGTGGATTCATAACTTTCCCAAAGGTATTTGTGCATAATATAACAAGCCCAACTAGAATTGGAACTCAGCTCTCCAATTAACAATTTCAAGCCATTATCCATTACACCAAATGCACATCCAAGCTTACAGCACCAGATATTCTTAAGTTGTCATCCATCTTGGTACTGACCAGGCTAGATGTTGCTTAATTTCAGTGATCATATGGGACCCAGTGTTTCAATGTGAGAGGCCATAAACAGAATGGGAAAAGAAGGAAAGCCTGTGGAAACATGAATTCTTTACAATAGAAGTTTAAAATGCAATTTTAAACATCAAAAAATATGTTAATTCCGTTCATAAAAATTACATATACAACAAAAAGCTTCTTTGAATATAAAATGATTTTAATTTTCAGAAATTTAAACAAGTCTCAACAACACTGTAAATTATCAAGATTCATTACAGTAGAAAGACTATACATTTATCATGTACTATGCTTAAGCTAAGTGAATATCAACAGAAAGACAAACTTAAAAACAGATGACTAAAAAAAAAAAAAAAATAAAAAAAATAACTTTGCTCAATAAATATTAACTTTAAAACCCAGTTAAGAAAATGTTTTTAATTTCTCAAATAAAGCATCTGAAACTCACAATTAAAACTTACAAACAAATAAATAGAAAACAAATTTTATATCATTGAACTTAAAAAAAATAAAAAAATCTAGACAAAATTAATAGTGGAATCTTGTATACATTTGACAAATTAATAGAAAAAACAAAGGAAAATATTTTGTTATGTATAACTGTTATCTTAACCTTAGTACCATGCAATGTTTGAACATCCCATAGAACATTTTTCTTTAATATTTAGCAAGTGGTAAGTCAAATTTTCACGATTTTTTTTCATCAGAGCATTTTCCATGGAAGCAGTGACAAACTCAACTACATCCTGTCTGTGAGAGAGAGGTTTGAGGATGTAAAATAATTCTTCTCCAACAGGGATATGAAGACACTTAAATTCTATCAAGACTGGAAAGTGAGGACCAGGCATCTCCCACCCAAATATGGAAACAGTACTCCATTTTCAGCCTAGTCTGACTCTTATAAAAGTAGAGGATAGTATGAGGAGTCAGTTACTTACGGGAGCAGTACAGGGAACCAATTATTTTACCTGCCTCTTTAGTGATGGATCGTATATAAGAGTTCCACCTGAGGTTGGGTATGAATTTGAGGCCTAATATTATCTCAAGGCATGGTGCCCTCTTGAGGGGACATCTGTTCATCATGAATGGCAACAGTTTAGGGGGGGGTCTGATTGGCAATAATGGAATGTAACTAGTTTTCCAGGCATTGAATGTAACCAGCCAGTCCCCCTCCCACTGGGAAGTTAGTGTCGGATCAGAAGAGAGGTCAGATCCCAATCTATGATCGTCAAGAGTATAAGATGTATACCCATATATCAGTGTATCATCAGCATAGATGTTTACAAATGATCAGAGTATATTCTTGATTAGTCAAGTAGCTTTTTGAATACCTCTGCCAGGTAACTACAAGGAGTTTCTGGTTTTAGTCATAAAATTTGTGTGAATTTCAAGTAGTTCAATTTGTTTACTGAAAATAAAATTAAACTTATTTTTGCATATTTGAAATGTACAAATTCATTTTTTAAGATCTACTTTTTAATTCAATTTTTAAAAATAGAACCTTTTGTTCATTTTTCATTTATGCTATAAAAAAACAGCAAGAACATTCACAATACCACCATGGGACTGAAGCTGTGACAATGCAGAAGGTTAATAGTATTGTACAAAATCCCTTTTATTCTAAATAGTCTAATGAAAAATGATCTTTTTTATATATTAGCATAACAGACAGTCTTCAAGCTTTTCAACAAATTCAAATCAATAAAAAGCTAACTGAGCTACAAGCATGCAATATCAAAAGAGTAAATATATATTTATTTTTACTGTTGGCATTAAAATGTACAGCTAAATTTATCTAGAACAAGCTTGTAAGAGATTGTGGCCTTTAGCCAATATTAAGCCTGTAATTATTGATGTAAAAATAGTAACACTGAAAGCAAGTTCCAACTGTCAATATTTGTGACAAAGTTGTTAACCCAGTCAGCCATAGCAGACAAATGTTACACCAATATTTCAATTTTAATTTAACAAAATACAAAATAAATTTAAAGGAAATTAAATGTGGCCAACTATTCAAAATTATCTACTTACTCCAGCCCAGAATTGATGATTGAGTTTGTTTTTTTTCTTTAATTCTGTAACCAAGATATCTTTCAGTAATAAGTTATTAACAGCAGTAAAAAAAAGTCACTTTCTGTATTTGTAATTTTTTAAAAATTAGTGTGAACGTCTAAGAAAAAACTGAAATTTACTTCTAAGAAAAAACTGAAATTTACTTCTAAGAAAAAAAAACTGAAATTTACTTCTAAGAAAAAACTGAAATTTAACTGAAATTTACTTCTAAGAAAAACTGAAATTTACTTCTAAGAAAAAACTGAAATTTACTTCTAAGAAAAACTGAAATTTACTTCTAAGAAAAAACTGAAATTTACTTCTAAGAAAAAACTGAAATTTACTTCTAAGAAAAACTGAAATTTACTTCTAAGAAAAAACTGAAATTTACTTCTAAGAAAAACTGAAATTTACTTCTAAGAAAAACTGAAATTTAAAATAAGAAAAACTGAAATTTACTTCTAAGAAAAAATTGAAATTTACTTCTAAGAAAAACTGAAAAAAAAAAACTGAAATTTACTTCTAAGAAAAACTGAAATTTACTTCTAAGAAAAAACTGAAATTTACTTCTAAGAAAAAACTGAAATTTACTTCTAAGAAAAAACTGAAATTTACTTCTAAGAAAAAACTGAAATTTACTTCTAAGAAAAAACTGAAATTTACTTCTAAGAAAAAACTGAAATTTACTTCTAAGAAAAAACTGAAATTTACTTCTAAGGAAATAGAAAAAAAAAATGAAACAGACCTTTCAAGTTGTAGTGTGATTATAATTCACAATGTCTCTTTGCCAAGATGGTTGTATTGTGGAAGACGTAAAGTTTGGAGAATCCAGTTGATTTAACTTCCAGTCTGAAAACAAAAGAAAATTACATCTTAAAAGAATAACAAATGTGATTTAATGTCCATATATCTGAAAAACCAAATGATCAGAAAAATATTTATGTAAGCCATTATTTTCAGTATGTGTATAAAATATATTATTATCACACACATTAAATATTTCTAGAGATTTTAAAGATCCTGGAAGTAATGTTTTTACAAGCTTAGATATTTGATTACACTAAGAAAAAAAAAATGTATCAAATCATCTATCTATAAAGGCAGGATGTGTGTGTGTGTGTGTGTGTGTGTGTGTAACGAATGCACGGCCGCAATTTTCGACAGATTTGCACCAAAATTTACATGCACATGCTCCAAGTTAGCGGGAAGGCCAAGACCAACTTTGCATTTCCCAACTCCCATTGATAGTGGAAATAATCGATTTTTTCATGCTTCTACGGCAGTTTTCATGTAGTTTGCAGCTATTTTGTACTGGCTAGTGTGAGAGCCTATAGCTGGCTGCCATGAATAGGCAGGAAGATTCTATTGGCTAGCATGAGAGCCAACAGCTGACTGAATGTTAACTAGCATGCAAAAAAAAAAAAAAAAAATCAATAGCTGCATTTGTCACAAGTGGGAAAAATTTAAATCTGCATGGCACTTTACTCCAATTGGCTCATTAAACTTGCTTAAACTCAACGTTGATTCTGATTCCATGAGAACTGGGTTGGGTGTGAAAAAGTATTTGTTGTTAACATTCTTTTTTCATTCGGTTTTTCCAGTTACGAGTCCTTTTTTAAAGCTGATTGTTTTGTTTAGTTCTTTTTTTTGTAACAGATTTAATGTTTAGTATAGAGCTTAGAAAAAATTCACAGTGTGAGATAGGCAAGAAGTAAGGCATGTAGCAACATCAGCACAGCAAAGGGCACTCCTTTAAAGGCAAGGAAAGGCAAAAATATTTTAAGTTATAGCAATTGCTGTATGAGTTGTACGATTTTTGAATCAAGCATGAGCAACACCGGGCCAAGCTGCTAGTTTTAGCATAAACTTGAGCTGAATCAAACATTTTTCATAAATCTTTGCAACTGATGTGTCACAATATGAAAATATTATTGCACATATATTAGAAGTTTATTTTCAATGTATTGGCTCTTAAATTTTGTTTTTGTGGCATGATACTGATTACAGACTTCTCCAGCTAACTAATAAATGTATACCAGATAACATTCCTATGTATGTATCCCTTAAATATTAGCCAAATACTTTTTACATTTATTAGCATGTAACTTGTGAACACTTCCTTTCTGGAGTTTCTAACAATACCTTAATATTAAATAAACTTACAATTTGTTTGTCTATATTTCTGAGATCAGGTATTGGAGACACATGGCCCAGTGGATAAAAGTGTTGACTGAAGTAATCCAAGTGACCCTATTGAATATTGAATTGTGAGTTCAATACCTCAGCAGAGATGAACAAAAACTTAGAGAGTTAAGTTACCAAAGGGAAATAACTGAAATGGAGATATCCAGAAAAGGCAAGGCATATCTAACTAGAAAAGTCTACCCCAGTGGACGAAATAAAGGGTACAATTTGAAATTCCAATGTATATCTCCTGAAGAAGGCCCAGAGTGTACAGTGGCTTAAAATGTCATGAATATAACAAAGATGCGGACAACAGTCCAAACTGTAAATAGTTACAATTTGTTATTGATTAGGTTTTGTTTTCCTTATAAATCTTCAATAGTCTATTTTATATGCTTGCAATAATTCTTTTTGATAAATATTAATTTTCAAAGAATTTGGAGTATCCAAATCAATTTGCACTTTTCAGAAGACTTATACTTAAATCAATTTACTTGAAAATAAGATTTCCAGTAAAATTATAGAGCTAAAGAAAAAATAACAGATGCTGCTGCAATAACCGATTAAGATAGAAATAAAATTTTATTTTTATAATAAAAAGGTATCTATTGATGTAAAAAAAATGAGGGCATATATGAAATTGATATTTTATTAAGTCTTTAGTATTATTAGGCTTTCATATGCAAGTCTAATTTTTTTTTTTTTTGTAACTATTGTTGTACTCTGCTCTTTCAGTCAATCATTTCACCTCTTGGTTTTGTATCCATCTTTGAACAGTCCACCTTTGGTATAAGGACACTGT